AGGTGCAGCAGCGGGTTGCTGCTGCTGCTGCTGCTGTTGGTTCTGTCTTGCTGCTGCATCTGGTCGGAGAGCATCTGCTGCAGCTGCATGGCGTTGCTGCTTTTGCTTCTGTTTTGCTGCTGCAGCAGCAGCAAATGCTCCTCAGGCTGCCGCAAAGCTGAGACCCACAAAGCCTCCCCAGGGTCACTCAGCCGGGCCCCCCAGGGCCCCGTGCTGCCGTGTCTTCTGTTTTGCTGCTGCTGCTGCTTCTTTTGCTTCTCCAGCGCGTCTCCCCACAACCGTTCAAACACCTGGAGCAGCAGCAGCAGCAGCAGCAGCAGCACAGATGAAGGCAGCAGCAGCAACATCAGGGGCAAGCCGCCACCAGCGAGCGAAAAGGCGACGCCAGCAGTGGCAGCAGACGCAACAGTAGCAGCAGCAGCAGCAGCAAGTGTGGCTGCTGCAGCTCGATTTCTTACGTGAGCACTTTTGCTGCGCTTTGCTGCTGCGGGCTTCGCAGGAGCTGAACAGACACTTGAGCGAGAGCGCGCGGGGAGGGGCAGAGGCTGTACATACACCCCAGAAAGCGCAGCAGCAGCAGCAGCAGCACGGTTGGCAGCAGCAGCAAGTGACAGCAGCAGCAGCAGCAGCGGAAGCCACCACAGCAGCAACAGAAGCCACCATAGCAGCAGAAAACCCAGCACCAGCAGCAGCAGCGCGAGTAACGCTCCCGCTAGCAGCAGCAGCAGCAGCAGCAACACGCCCAGCATCCACATACACAGCAGCAGCAGCAGCAGCAGCAGCACTTACTGCGGGAGCTGAAGATGCCCGCTGCTGCAGCAGCGCCTGCCGGCTCACTAGCCTGCTGGCTGCATGCATTAAAGAAGCAATTGTGGGCTGCAGCAAACGGGCCCCTCCTGTTGCTGCTGCTGCTCTTTTGGCATCGGGGCTGCTGCAGAAGCAGCAAAGGCTGCGGAAGCGCAGCCCGTGGGGACACAGGGGGCCCCTTCTTTCGGCCTCTGCTGCTGCTGCTGCTGTTGGGGTTCTCCTGGGGTCGGGTCTGCTGCTGCGAGTGCTGCCTGTTGGAAACGGCTGACACGCGCTGCTGCTCCTGCTGCTGCTTCTGCCGCTGCAGTGGATGTTGCGGCTGCTGCGGCTGTTGAAGTTGTTGCTGCTGCTGCTGCTTCTGCTGCAGACGCCGCTGGCCCGGGAGCCTGCACTGCTACGGCCGGGGGCGGAAGCAGCTTCGCGGTCTCGCCGCCGCCGTTGCTGCTGCTGCTGCTGCTGCTGCTGCTGCTGCAGCTGTGGGTTTGCGCGTCTTCTTCCCTCTTGGAGTATCTGGTGACTTTGTTGCAGCTTCTTCGCAATTGCAGCACGAGCAGGAGAGGGCATGTCGGCCCAGCTGTTGCTGCTGCTGCTGCTGCTGTTAGGTTTCTGCAGTGAAGGGGGTTTGGCTGAGTCTTTGATGTGCGGCAGCTCTGTCCGGCTGCTGCTGCTGCTGCTGCTCTGCATGCGGCTGTCTGCTGCTGTGGTGGCGCTGCAGAGGCTGTCTTGGCGCTGCTCTACTTGGGAAGTTGGCAGCACGGTGCTGTTTCTGCGGCTGCTGCTGGGGCTGCTGCGGCAGTAGCTGCTGCTGCTGCTGCTGCTGCTGCTGCTGCTGCTTCTGCTGCTGCTGCTGCGGCTGGGCAGCATCCTTCCTTTGGCCCACGCTCTCGGCGTGGGGGTGTAGCGCTTCTTATGCTTCGGCTTTGCTGCAGCCACGCTGCTTCGGGTGCTGCTGCTGGGAGCAGCAGCAGCAGCAGCAAGGGGAGAAGCCACTGGCAGCAGCAGCAGCAACGGATCTGACTCTGTCTCATCTGCTGAAGGCAAACTGTCATCTGACAGCAGCAACTCTTCTTCTGTCTCGACACCACCGCAGTGAGACACAGGCCCCGCGGAGGCCTCCATGCTGCCTCTGCTGCTGCTGCTGCTGCTCGCGCTGCTGCTGCTGCTGCTGCGGTTTTTGCTGCTGCTGCTGCGTAAGTTTTGAATTAGGGAGTGGCTGGTTGTTCGCAGAAGGGCAGAGGCCCGGAGAGGCAGAGGGCCAGCGAGCTAGAGGGCGCCCAGTGGCGTCCCACCCGCTGCTGCTGCTGCTGCTGCTGCTTCTGCTGCTGCAGGAGATACTGATTTTCAAATTAAAAGCTTACTTTATTGAAGTAAAAAGTAAAATTAAAGGAAGGCTTTGGCCAGCAGCAGAAGACACGCGCTGCGGCTCCTGCTGTCGGCGGTGCCCCCGCCGCTGTCCGGCTGCAGGCAGCAGTGCTGCTGCTGCTGCTGCTGCTGCTGCTCGCGCAGGCCCAATAAATTGAAACAAAGAGATCTAAAAGAACAAACTCTTTTAATTATGTCTTGAAGAAAGAGAAAAGAGAAAAAGAGAGAGACAAACTTGAGCGAAGGCTGAGGCCCGGGCCGCCGAGGCACCAGCAGCAAGCCGCAGCGGGCGTTGGCGGTCTGCTGCTGCTGCTGCTGCTGCTGCTGGTAAAGCAGCAGCAAAAACAGTCAGGAAGTTTAAAGCGTAAAACCAAACATATCCAAATCAATAAATGTTTGATAGCTGAAACTGTGAGCCAAGCCATACGAAGCTGCAGCAGCAGCAGCAGCCGCAGCCGCCGCAGCAACCGCAGCAGCTGCAGCAGTCTCGACTAACCACCGCCGCATTTTGTTTTCTTCTTTGCCTTTGACTCCCTAAACTGTGTTTGTTTTTTCTATTAATTTAATTAATTTATTTATCTTTTCAAGTTAAAATAAAAAACAAAAGAAACCCCCAGACAAATGGACAAGTCTCGTTCGTGTGACTGGTCTGGTACGGCCGCCCACGGTTCGTTGCTGCTGCTGCTGCTGCTGCTGCTGCTGCTGCTGCGGTTCCCCAGCTCCAAAAGCCTGCTATTTTCATCTTTTTATCGAACGTTTATTAAATTAATTCTTTGAAACTTTATTTTTCTCATTTTAAACAGTCTTTTTGCATGCACTTGCTGCTGCTGCTGCGCTGCTGCAGTAGCTGCGGGCAGCTCTGCCGTGGACTGTGCGTCGACACGCCACCGCTGAAATCTTGCTGCAGCAGCAAGACTCCACAAATACTCATTTTACCAACTGCAGCTAGCCATAGCTAGCCACAGCTAGGCCGTGCTAGCCACAGCTAGCTGCAGCTAACCACAGCTGGCCGCAGCTAGCCACGGCTACGCGGCGCTAGCCGCAGCTAACTATGGCTTGCCACAGCTAGCCGTAGCTAGCCATAGCTAGCTGCAGCTAGAGATGTACAAAGGCTGCTGCAGCCAGCCCCAGCTAGCCACACGTAGTCCCGCCTCGGGGAAGCTAACGAGTAGCTGCAGCCCCCAGCCTCTAGCAGCAGCTAGCCACAGCTAGTCACAGCTAGCCACAGCTAGCCACAGCTAGCCATAGCTAGCCACAGCCAGCTCCAGCCACATGCAGCTTGTCTTTGCTGCCGGGGACCTCTCAGTGGGCCTAGGCAGCCAGGGGGCCCCGACAAAACCCTAAACCCTCGACCCTAAACCCTAGCCAGTAAACCCTAAACCCTCGGCCCTACGCGCTAGCCCGTGAACGCTAAACCCTCGACAGTAAACCCTAGCCAGTAGACGCTAAACCGTAAGCCCTAAACCCTAGCCTGTGAGCCCTGAACCCTAAACCCTAAAACCTAAACCCTAGCCCAAAAACCCTAAACCCTAGACCCCAAACCCAGAAAGAAAACCCACTATGAAGTGTCGGGAGCTCCCCTGAAGAGAGGAACAAACACGAAAAAGCCCTTCATCCCCCATTAGATGCATGCAAATTAAATGAATTAGCAAAAATAATTAAAAAGAACACTCCATTTGCTTTTTCTGCTACCTTTTTCCCTGCTTCCAGCTGTACGTACGCCCCGCAGGTCTTGAGCTTCGGGGTGTATGTACAGCCCGCTTTAGACATTTCTTTTTGAATAGCAGCCGCAGCTGCATGCATCCAATAAAACTTAATATATATATTTCTTGCATTTATAAAAAATAAACCTAGTTGCTGAAGGAAAGTGCAGAAAAAGGCTTTTTATTGGATGTAGATACACCCGGGATTTGCTGCAAAGCAGCAGCAGGGCCAACGCATGCGTCTTTGTCTTCCCCGTTTTAGTTGGGACTTTGAATTTAATTTGTTGTTTTTGTTTTAATTTATTTAAATATTAAAAGATTAGTTTCCCGGAAAAGGACTTTATTTCAAACGCGAGTTCAAGTGGAAATGTTTTCGTTTTGCTGCATGCATTTGAGGCCTCCGGAGTGTACATACACCGCAGTTCAAATAGAGCTGCACAAATGTGAAAAGAAATAAATATAAACACAAATAAGCAATCCCATTTATCTGCAAACAAATACGCACAAATGTTTGAATAAATTAATGAATAAGAAAGGATATTTTTGTTCAAATGCATGCATGTGCATTTAACTATTTATATAAATTTAAATTTATACATTAGAAAATGGACCTTTGATATTCAGACTCATAAAGGCTGTACTTACGGCAGAAAGAAGTATTTAAGAGCTGATAAGTGTAATAAAGCTATATTACATATATGTATAGAATATATATATTATATATACAGTAAACCTTTACTACACTTTTATATACAGAATACATATATGTTATATATATAATAAACTTTTATTACACTTATATATATAGAATGCATGTACGTTATATATATAATCAGTCTTTATTACACTTATATATATAGAATGCATGTATGATATATATATAATCAATCTTTATTAGACTTATATATATAGAATACGTACATATTATATATATAATAAACCTTTATTACACTTATCACAGGTACATTATACCTATATAATATATATTTAAGTGTTGTGGGTACTATACATAAAATGCATGTTGTATCCATACATCTATATTATATATGCGACGTATAACTTTATATTATATATGTGTTTATTTACATGCTACACTTGAATATGTATAATATATATATATATCTATATTATATACGCAAAGTATATTTTTATATTTTACGTGTCATTATATATATATTATCCATATTATATATGGAATGTATAATTTTATACTATATGTATATACAAATATATATTATGTTATGTATAAATATAATATTATGTATATATAGCTCTATACGTAATATGCAATCTACAGTATGTATAGTTCACTAGTTCACTATGTATATTTATATATATTAGGTATAATATATATATATTATATATACATAATATATATAATATGTATATATATTCTATATATATAATATGTAATGCATAATACATATATGTTTTATAAATACTCTACACATATTTGGATGTCCATTGTAATACTTAGTTAAATAATTTTGGAGCCACTTGCAGACACAAGTATAAGTATAAATATAAATATAAATATACGTATAAACATAAATATATGTATAAATATAGGTATAAATATAAATATAAATATAAGTAAAAATATAAATATAAGTATAATTATAAATATAAATATAAATATAAATATAAATATAAATATAAATATAAATATAAATATAAATATAAATATAAATATAAATATAAATATAAATATAAATATAAGTATAAATATAAATATAAATATAAATATAAATATAAATATAAATATAATATAATAAAACTATCGCTATAGGTAAAGTACTAATGCAAATGTATCTATTGGTACAACTTGAAGTATAAACATAGTTATAGTATTGTATACAATATAAACACACAGCAGCTGCCGTTGTTGCTGCAGCTGCTGCTGCAGCTGCTGCTGCTGCTGCTGCTGCAGCAAAGGAAAATATCTAGGCGAGGTCCTAATGCGGTGCATATGAAGAGCTGCACGGAGGGGAAGAGCAAAAATAAAGTATCCCTGCAACAGCAGCAGCAGATGCTGCTGCTGCTGCTGCTGCTGCTGCAGATTCAAACAAGGAAATTAGACAAAGTGCTGAGGCCGTGCACAGAGCAGCAGCTCGCGAGCAGCAGCAGCAATTAGACCCGATGTAGCAGCAGCAAAAAGCTGCTGCAGCAGCTCATGATAAACAGCAAGGAAGTTTTGCAGTTGGAGCAGACCATGCATTTGGGGTACAGACCACAGCAGCAGCAGATAGAAAATGCAGACGAGCAAGTTGCACTTTGTTTCAAGTTTCAGTTAATTCATTTTTAGATTAAATTAAATACCTTTTTGATTTATTTTTAAAAGATTTGTCCAAAGTAAACGCAGCTTCCTGTTCTGCTGCTAACGGCCTTTGGCTTTACTGCTCTGCTGCTGCTGCTCCGTGGGTTCGTACTTTGCTGCTGTTGTAATTTCTGAATTACTGCTCCTATTCCTTGCAACTAAATTAGATTATCATTCATTTAAATTAAATTAAATTAAAATTAATTGAATTAAATGATATATTATTTATTTTAGGACTTTCTTTCCTCGCGGCTGAATGGTTGCAGGCTTAGATACGGAGCAGCCGCCGGCACCTGGTGTCTGTACACCTCAAGAAACAGCCTGACCGGTGTAAGACCCCCAACATAAGGGAGTTCTTCATTTATTTTTATTAATTGAATAAATATTTGCTACAAACTAATTTTTATTTACTGCTGTAGCGCTAGGCAGCAGGCTGAAGCTGCTGCTGCTCTTGCTGCAGCCGCTGCTGCTCATCCGCATGCAGCAGTAGCGCCTGGCTGCAGCAACGGCAGCCCCAGACCACTTCACGGTCTCGCAGCACCTGCAGCAGTACCAAACCTATAGTTGCTGCAGCAAGTCTGCTGCAGCAGAAAAACAAGAGGCAGCAGCAACAGCAACAGCAGCAATAGCAGCAGCAGCGGCAGCTGCAGCGGCAGACCATCGCAGTCGCCGCATGCATGCAGGAAAATGGAGCCAGGAGCGGCCGAGTTGCTGCAGCAGCAGCTCCAGGGGCTTCTAGAGCAGCAACAGAGGCTGCAACAGCAGCAGCAGCAGCAGCAACAGCAGCTTGAGGCGGGGATTCCAGACCGAGACGCCTTGACTGCGGCTGCTGCTGCTGGAGCAGAAGCAGTGGCGGCCTCAAACCCAGCAGCAGCAGCAGCAACAGCAGCAGCAGCCGCAGCATTGCTGAAGGACGATGTAGCGAAAGCAGCGGGGAGCAGTGCAGCAGCTGCTTCTGCGTCAACCACGGCTTCTGCTGCTGCTGCTGCTTCTGCTGCTGCTGCAGACACAAGCGAAACTGCAAGCTGCAACAGTGTGCTGCAGCAGGATGAGCCAGCAGCCGGCAAGCAGCAGCAGCAGCAGCAAGTGAACGCGTCAGTTGCTGCGCTGCTGGCCCTTAGGAGGCAGCACATTCAGCAGCTGCAGCTGCAGCAGCTGCAGCAGCAGCGAATGCAGAGGCTCCAGCAGCAGCAGCTGCAGCTGCTGCAGCAGCATACAACAGCACCTGAAGCCAGCGCAGACCGCGAGCAGCATGCAGCTGTGGCAGCAGCAGCAGAATCAAGCACTTCTGCTGCAAGTACGTTAGACTTCAGAGTTCAGAGCCTAGGGTTTAGGGTTTAGGGTTTAGGGTTTAAAGGGTCTGGGGCTTAGTGCTTCGGGTTAAGGTACAGCCCCCCAGAGATGGTGGATGCAGGGGGGCCAACTGCTGCGCTGCTTCTGCTGCTGCTGCTGCTGCTGTTGCTGTTGCTGCAGCAGACACTCTCCAGACCTGGCAGCACGGCTTCTAGAGGGCACTGCGGCGACAGGACATTTGCTGCTGCAGCAGAAGCTGCAGCAGCAGCTGCCTCGCAGCGGAGCGGCATTTTCTGCTGATGCTGCTGTTCCCGCTGCAGCAGCAGGTGCAGCCCACCAGCTGCAGCAGCTGCAGCAGCTGAAGCAGCAGCAGCAACAGCAGCTGCAGCAGTTGAAGCAGCAGCAGCAGCAGCAGCAGGCTTCATTGCTGAGTTTGCAGCAGCAAGCCGCTGCTGCAGCTGCTGCAGCTGCGCAGCAGCAGCAGCAGCATCAAATGGGTCAAGGGACAACAACAGCTCCGAGCGCAGCAGCAGCAGCAGC